GACATTCGCGAACACCGGATTGGTGTAAACCAGTGATGCTGAGCAACACCCCTGTGGTTCACCACCACCACCCAGCCCGCCTATTCGCCACTCCTCTCATCTCTGCCTGTCTGTTCCAGACGTTGGGGATGGCCGAGGCCAGCTCAAAATTGGGAAAGGGTAGCAGAGAACAAGAGGGCGGGGAATGCCTATGCTTTACGCTCCAAGGCTCCAGCTACCTGGCGGTGCAAGAGAGGAATGAACCCCAATCTGGGCAGCTCCAGGGAAGGGGGAGGTAGACAGACTCGGGAGGAGGGAACCGAGTCTGTCTAGATGCTGTGGGCCCTTCACAGAGGATTTCTCATTGGGATACTGCCAAGCTTCTCAACTCCCAAGGGATCGCCGGATCTCAGCTCCAGGCAGCAACTCCCTCCCATCTAGGAACACACAAGTTGCTACTCCATCTGAGGCTCCGTCTTTTCAGTCCTGGGCCTGAGTAGGATCTTTCTGGGAAACAACCGCAGAGACTGCTTTATGGGTGGTTTCATAGGTCCCCCTCTGCAGACACTTTGCTCTCTTCCATGTGTTTTGCTCTCTGCCCACGTCTTAGGACCTGTTCCTTTGGTTTCGTCCTAGCTGGTGGCCCTTGGTAGTCCTTGATCTCTTTCTAACGAAATATTTCCTCCTAATGCTCCAAGACCAGATGCCAAGGAAAGTGTCACTAGAAAGTAATTACTTTTCCTAAGTCTACTCACCCTTCTTATTTTTATTCTCAGTATAGAGTTGAAACTGTGCTATACTACTTCGGGCCCTCCTGTTTACATTTAAAAGCTGGGGGATTCAGCAGTGGGTATGTGGGGTAGAATTACAGAGGTTCAGGGCTAGGACTACCTCCTCCAACTTTCTGATCCTCTTTCCTCCACTCTTCAGAATTATGAAAATGTAAGTATGGGGGCCAGTGTTCAGGTTACGGTCTTTCCACTCAAGCTCTGTGGTCTCTGGTCTGTGTGTGTTTGTAGAGTTTGACAAAAGAGAATATTTCAAACATAGTGTGGTATAGATAGAATATATCTATCTAACCTTTGTTCCTGGCCTGGCCCAGAACTTCAAAACACCGTGGGAATTCTTGAGTGATAGGAGTGTCTTCGTGGATGTTTTTGCAATCTCGGCCAAAGGGCAGGGTAAGTGGGGTATGTGTATCTCCAAGAACTGACTTATGGTGGGCCCTCAGATAGCTTCATGATGTGGGCTGGTCACCAGAAGGACCAACCACCTGATTAGAGTTGGAACTTTAGGCCACAGGGGGAAGGAGGGCTGGATTTCGGGTTCAGTCAGGTGGCCAGTGATTTAATCGTGCCTATGTAAGAAATCCGCAGTGGAAACTCAGGGCTTCGTGGAGCTTCCTGGTCGGTCGGTAAACACATTGATTTTCTGGGAGGGTGATGTACCCTGAACCCATGGGAAGAGGGCATGGGAGCTGTGTGTCTAAGACCCTTCCAGACCTTGTCCTATGCGTATCCTTTATAATAAAACTATGACTCGAAGCGTAGCACTTTTAGTGTGTTCCGTTAGCTGTTCCAGTAAATATCAAACCTGAGGGGGTCATGAGAACCCCTGAATTTATAACTTGTCAGTCAGACATATGAGTGGCCCCTCAAGACTTGTAACTGGCATCTTATCTGTTGTGGACTGCACCTTTAAATCTGTGGAGTCTGATGCTAACTTCAGGTAGTTGGTGTCAAAGAATTGGTGTCAGAACAATGGTCACATGCGTCCCTACCTCTGATCCTATGCATCACACATAAAGAAGTTAAAAATGAAGGAGGCAGAGCCCACGAGTACACTATGGGTGAAAAAGCAGCATGCATTTGTGACATGTGCCTGCATTTAGATGGTTTTTAAAGTTCTCTGTAATTTCTTTTCTTATCAGAGCTCCCTCCACCTAGCATTCCTGTTGGGGGTACTGTATTTGTATTTGGGAAACTTCACATTGTGGCCTGTCAGGATACCTCTAAGCCCCATGCGCATCTCAAAGCAGGCACTTAACCGATTCACACCCGTGGATTTTTTTTTCAATCTCAGCCAAAGGGCAGGGTAAGTGGGGTGTGTGTATCTCCAAGAATGAAGATGATTATATCTGTTCTGATGACTCATTGGCCAGGATCATCCCTCGATTTTTTTCTGGGGTGCAATCGAAGTAAAAAACCTCATCACTCATATGGTCCTTTTGTTTCTGTCCCCTTTCTGAATCAATATTATGGGCTGTCTGTCTCCCGTAAGAAATATCAGGGTCCATTCAGATGTCATTTGACCTAAAATGTTGCTGCTTGGGGATAAAATTAGAGTGGATTTGTTATCCCTCCAGTCATGAATGAAAGAAAGGTATCGTCTTACGGCACAGCTGGACTCTTGGCACCCCCTGACACTCTCTGCCCCAATTTCAAAAGGGCAACCTTCAATGGGATCTCATCTATAAAATACTACCGAGTACCTGAGGCAGGGTTTCAGGGCCTTGCACCCTTCCATACAATTCCACCTTTCCATCTCCATCCCCCAACACATGCTTCCAAGTCAGGGTCAGGACTAGAATGAGATAAGGACACAGTTTAAGGAGGCGCTCACTCTCAGGTGCCTCATCGTAGTCCAAGCCCTAATCCACTTTGCCTGTACTCAAGCCACATTGGACTTTCCTGCTACTCCCCAACCCAACTGTACCCTGTGCTTTACTACTTCTGTGCCTTTCCCCACACTGTTGGCTCGATCTTCAGTGCTCTCACAATCCTTTCTCTGCCTATGGGAAACATATTCGTCCTTTTAGGTTCAGCTCAAATGCTAGGGTGTGTTTGAAGTTTTTCTGATACCCTCACCCTTACTCTTGGTACCTTGGTAGGAAGTAATTCCCCCGTCCTGTGTACTTACACAGTATTTTATTTGCCCCTATTTCAGCATTTGTTTCTTTATACCGTGGACTGGAGTCTTTTTTTATGAATAAGACAGAACTAGTGTTGAGGGACAGGTAGCATAGAAGACGAAACTTGGGCTCTGGAAGTGTGACTCAAACCCATCTGTCTCACTGCAACACCTGAGCCTTTTACTACTTATAATAGTAATTATTGTTAATATTAAGAGTTATTGGGTGCTTTATATGTACCAGATACTCTTCTAAGGGTTCTAAATGTTTAACTTATTTAATCCTCAAAACAAACGTATGGAATAGCTGCTGCTGTTTTCTCCATTCTGCATGGGAGGAAGCTGGGGCACAGACTGGTAAGGAACTTGGCCAAGCGCACTGAGTTGGTTAACAGAAGAGCTGGGATTCAGAGCTCTGTAGTTTGACTCTGGAGCTGGTGTGCATTACCGCTACGCTACGTCTACATCCCTCTAGTGCTGGTCATCACTAAAAGCTGCCATCCTCGCTGTCAGTATCTTCATCAGATTTTCTGTTCCTTACAGCTTGTGGCAAAGTACTTTATGACGTTAGCCCTGAGTGTTGTTAGACCCCCTGCCCCTTCTCGCATTCTCCCAGTGTATCAGCCTCCTCCAGTTTTTCCTTCCCTCCCAACGTAATGGCCAATCACGGTCCATCATTTTTATTACTCTCTTACCTTATCCTCTAGTGCCTGGCTCCGCTGTCCTGGCAAAATCCCCGCTCGTGATAAATCCCAAATATCCACCTCTTTCGACACCTGTGTTGCTTAGTGCAGTACACCGGGGGAAAGATAACTAAACCTTTCTAACTGTTGACACTATGAATTTATCTTTCTCAACTTCAGTGCAGCCCCCTGAATTGGAAGCAGATAACCTCTGATATCTTTATATTACGGACATTTCCTAAAGGTGCAGTTTCACACAATGACTCTCTGAATTGAAACCAGGCTTATCTATGAGCTCAAGTATTTAATGGACCTCTGAACCCCCTAGATCAGCGGTCCCCAACCTTTCTGGCACCAGGGACCGATGCTCCTACCGGAATCTAATGCCTGATGCTCCGAGGTGGAGCTGAGGCAATGGTGATTCTAGCGCTGGGGAGCGGCTGCAAATACAGATGAAGCTTTGCTCACTCGCCCACTGCTCTCCTCCTGCTGCGTGGCCCGGTTCCTCACAGGCCGCAGACCGGTACTATCCCGTGGCGGCCTGGGGGTTGGGAACCCCTGCCCTAGATAAGTAAAGGTCTGGGTTTTCTGCCTGAAACTGTCCTTTTCAGGCTAGAACAGAGACCAATCAGAGTTGTCAGACCTCTAGCAATCATTAGGCAAGGTGTTCAGAACCTACAGTTTTCCTTTCACGTGGAAGGAAAGAACATGAGTTCTGCCACTGGTTTTAAGAGGCAGGTGCTTACTGACAGACAAAAGTCAGGAACATTTATTCATCGAAGAGTTGTTCTGTGCCTGAACACACACATCATTTACGATTGCTCCATTTTCATATAACAAGGAACTTAGCTAAAACTAACTTAACAAGGAAATTTATTATCCACTGATTGAAGTACTGAGGCCTTGATGGTTGTTTGATTCAGCTAAGGACTCAGCTTTTTTCCATCTCCTTCTTCTGCCACTCACAGTATCAGCTTCCATCCTAAGGCTGGAAGCTTGATGGCTGCAACAATTCTAGGAGTTAAGCAAATTCCTGAGGAAGAAAAGGAGATCATCTTTCTCGATGGCCTTTTCTTATGAGTGAAGGCACTTCCTTCAGAAGTCCTTCTGCGGTCTTCTTCTAAGGTCTCATTGAGCAGAGTTAGATCACCTCCCCTTCCTGAACCAGAGAGTACCAAGGGGATGGATTACCCATAGACCAGGAAGATGACCCCTGGAACTGGGATCATCCTCCCTGTGGTACAGGACCACGAGGAGGAGGGAGACACGCTCATGCAAAAATGAAATTTCTTCAGTAAGTGTTGGTTATGGCAAGCAAAAGACAGTATACAAAGCACTGAGGAGCACGGTGGCAATGTCTTAGCAGTTATGACCTCTGAAAGCCACCATGGAGCTCTCATCTACTCTTTCCTACTTACCCCAGCCTAACCCATAGTATAACAAGCTCACAGTTTTAAAAGGAACTAGAAAGACCTGATACATGCAGGCATTTCAGTATATCAGATAGTTTCTCATTTAGTGTGCACAAGAATCCTGTGAGGTCATTATGACCAGCTCCCTTTGAGGGATGAAGTAACTGAGTTACAAAAACATGAAGTACCTTTTCCGAAGTGACACAAATAGTGGCAAAGTCTCTACTCAGCCTGGACTGCCTGGCTCTGAAGTCCGGCCAAGTCCCGGAATAGAGCCCAGAGGAGAAAGTCCCAACTGTACCTTCTAGAACGCGCTTCCGGGGCTCAGAAACTAGTTACTCTAGTCTAAGCAAGCACCTAGTAGTATAGTGGACGGCCTCTTGATGGTGGTGGTGGTGACAGAGATGTCTTCCTTCTTCTTGGGTTAAGTCGCAGTTGCTCAAACCTCACAAGGAATGTTGATTCAGGAAGTCTGAATTCTAATCTGCACTCCAAGTTAAATATTTGGAGGCTGAGATGCCAAGTTCAGGGAGCCACGTAAATTTTCTATGCCTGGGAGGGAAAAGACCTAAAATGTATGGAACAGCTAGGTTTCCAAGGACAACTCTATTCCCAGATCTGAAGTTCAGCTGAAAAGAAGAGGACCAAAGCTGTTCACTGGTCTTTAACCACCCAGTTAAAATCCAGAGGCCAGGCTTCCAGTTTCAGTTCTGGAACTCATCCTTCCTGTACTTATAACCAGAAAGGAAGCTGAACAAACTGAAAATCAGTGACTTACCTCAGACCCTTCAGAGACCTGAGGTCACAGGGCAAATGACCACCACTTATTCTAGAGAAAAGACAAATCCGGCGAGTCACAGCCTCTGTCTCCGTACATAGAGCAGAAAAGGCTAGAGACATAAAGAGGTGAGAAGACTTAAACGGTAGTTTTGACAAATTACTGGAGACTGTGGAATAGTATGAGAGCGGGAAACCCCACGTGCAGTCTTAAGAGGTTTAGTGGGCTTTAGATCCAGGAACTCCAGCAGGTTCTCACAGTGAAGATCCCAGAAAGATCCCCTCATGGCTCTGGCAGTGGGAGGGGAATTGTGCTCTTGTGAAATACACCCAGAGCCTTCTCCATGAGAAAGGCCTACTCTACAGTGGAAAAAACTTTTTCCCAGAGCCTTATCCCAGCCCACTCTAGTCTTCCATTTATACATAAGGGGGAGAGAGAAGCTACAAAACACTCGTGAAGGTCACAGCCTAGGAACACGGGCCCACAGAACCCTGGAATTTAATTGGAAGAATACAGAACACGTCTCCACACGTTTTTCACCTTGTCACAAGCCTGCAGTAGAACAGGAGTGGAGTACAGCTCAAAGAGTTGCAACATGCGGACTCTCTCTGCAAAGAGTAATTAGGGAAGCCCCAAGGTAAGAGGGGAGACAAAAATAAGGACACTAGAACTTGAAGACTCTGGCACCTACACCTACAGTAAACATTACACACGACAGAAAACCTCTCGCTAAGGGTCTATTTACCTCCGTTCGCATTACCCAACATATGTCCAGCTTTCAACAAAAAAGTATAAGGCATGCTAAAAGACAAGAAAAAGCAGTTTGAGAATACAAAGCAAACATCAGAACCAGATGCAGATGTAATGCAGATTTGGCCATTATCAGGGAATTTAAAATATGTGTGATTAATATGTTAACAGCGCTGATAGATAAACTGGACAGGTATGTATGGCAAGGGGCTGAGACCCAGGCTGGTTCTTATCCCTGCCCCATTGCCACACTGCCAAACCTCATGAGAGCTTGGAAGTGACCGCAGAAGACTTGACGGAGCAGAGGAAGAGGAACCAGGACCGACCCTAACTGACGCCTGACACTTGGCCGTGGGACCAGACAGAGACCATCGTGTGACCCGGTGCGGGTCCTGACAGGGCCAGGCCCTCTTTCTTGGACAACTGTGGGGACCACAAAATGACAACAGACGTTACCATTTCGAGTGAGGAAAAAAAGCAGTGTGGCAGAAAGAATGAATCTGGGTGCAGAGCAGTGGATTCTTCCCTAGGGTTAGAGATCTAGGTGTGCCTTTAGAAGAGGGGCAGCGGTGAGGCCTCCACAGCAGCCCCCTCCCACTTCTCTCCCCGCCATGGCCCCGTGAACTAAGAAAGAACTTGGGCGGTGGGTAGGACCTCCGGGTGGTCTGGCCTTAGATCGCCTCTCCCCTCCCAGCCTGCATCCTCACAGCCCCTCTCCCATCAGCGGCCAGGACGGATGGCGGGCGGGATGGGGGAGGGGGAGGAGGCGGATACTAAGCAGTCGAGGGACCCCGTGCGCGCGCGCGCGCACACATCTCTCACCGAGGGCCGGTCTGTATCCATCCGCTGCTGCTTCCAGCGTGGCTCCATCCGACCTCCGAATCCTGCTCGCATCGCCCCGCCCCTCGCCCGCGAGACCCATAGGGTCTATGGCATAGACCGCAGAGCCGGAAGCGTGGGAGGGGTCGCCCGCTGGGGGGCCGCGGAGGTCCAGCGAGGCGGGAGGGCGTTAACCCGTGCCTGGCGCGGGGGCTCCCCTGGGCCCCGGCCCCGCCCCCTCCAGGTCGGAACTACGGTGGGCCTGGAAGCAGGCGTCGAGCCCATTCGTGCCGTATCCCTCCGCCTCCTTCCCGACACCCTCGTCGCCAGCGGTTCGTGCCGCGTCCTGCGCAGCCCCTGCTCGGCCTCGCACCTCACGCGGGGGCCGGGACGCCTCTCTGTAGTTCGGTGCGCACGGAAGGCGGTGGGAATCCGAGCGAGGAGCTCCGAGCGGAGGGGAGGCCGACCACCGGGGCCCTGAGCCTGCACAGGCAAGAGGGGCTGTGGTGGCGGCGGGGGTGCTCCCTCACTCGGTCAGCTTGCAGCCTGGCGAGGAGGAGGCGACCCGGTCGGAACCGGTCCCTGAGAGGTGCGCAGCGCC